TTTGAGATCAGAGCAGTCGTGAAGTCTTTCTGAGCGACGCAGTCTTAACACACCACACATGGAAAATCCATCAGATTGTTTTCTCAAAAATTGGAACGTTCGTAAGATTGTCATCAGGGGTTAATCGGGTCTTAAATCGGCCTAATTATCCTGCGGTGTGAACCAGGCTTTAGCGTAACGCCTCAGCGTAACATAGAATCAGTTAATAGATTTAACAACAATAAAATAATATTATTGTAACTAAAAGCTGGTCATTAACATTAACACATTTAAAAGCATAAACATTGTCAGATCTCCGTCAGTAAAAGCAGAAAGACACGATTTCAGTGCATTTAGTTTCACCTGAAGAGTGTTCAAAGGAAAAACTGAAGCTTGTTTTCTTTCCAAACACAAAGACGTAGGTGGAAAGTTAGAATCGTGTTTCTCTGGAGCAGGATACGATGGAACGAAGCCAAGAAGAGTTTGGACCAAAAGCAGTGTTTACCTCTCGTTGTTTCGCCACAGTCATGTTTCAGTCATGCTTTAGTCATGCTTTAGTCATGCTTTAGTCATGCTTCAGTCATGCTTCAGTCATGCTTTAGTCATGCTTTAGTCATGCTTTAGTCATGCTTTAGTCATGCTTTAGTCATGTTTTGTGATTATTTATGATTTTAATGCTATCTTGTTCAGCACTTTGAGTTGCCTTGTGTATGAATTGTGCTATACAAATAAACTTGCCTTGCCTTGCCTAGTCATGCTTTAGTCATGCTTTAGTCATGCTTTAGTCATGCTTTAGTCATGCTTTAGTCATGCTTTAGTCATGCTTTAGTCATGCTTTAGTCATGCTTCAGTCATGCTTCAGTCATGCTTTAGTCATGCTTTAGTCATGCTTTAGTCATGCTTTAGTCATGCTTTAGTCATGCTTTAGTCATGCTTTAGTCATGCTTCATGTTCATGCACTTTTGGATTTGAATCATGTACATTTCACATAATCTCAATTATGTTCAGCTTTGATTTCTTATTGCACTGAAATCTTACTATTTATGTGTATTTACAGTTTACATCAAAGGCTGTTGCTGATTATTACTATTATAGCTTTTTAGAATGATCTATTTTAGTTTCTATTTTTGCTGCTACTGGACACCTGCATTCCTCCATCAGGGGTCAATAAAGTATATCTGTTATTTTGAATGTAATATCCTAGCATCAGCCCAGGGACTAAGGGTGGAATGAGCTCCTGAACTTTAACCCGGTACAAAGCACCTTTCCTTTTGAGGTTAATGTTTATTGTACACTGTCATCTTAAATAAACTAAACTAATCTATAATCTAGTGAGTTCTACCGTCTCATTTTGACTCTTCCCCACACACTGTAAACTACAATCCTCAGAATTCCAACAAAGGCTACATCTTTATCATATATAAACTCCACAGTTTAAGTTAGATTACAGAAATAAATTACCTTTAGATTTCCTCCTGTACATAACCCAGCTTCTCGTGTTGTCTAAAGGAGCTGACGGTAAATGCGGCGTGTCCCAGTCTCTGCAGGAACATGTTTACAGTGAAGAACGCAGCCCTTTGCATCGGGCCTCGGCTGTTTCCTTTCTGCTCGTGGGTAGTTTATTAAAGCTCGTTCAGTTTGTACAGCGGCCCATCTGCTCGCTGACAGCTCGGATGGCTGCTTTCCTGTGGCTCCAGATTGAGAAGCGACGACTCATTGGTGTTTCCCGCAATCTCCAAAGCATCTTTTCAACGGATTTCTCTCAGTAGCCACTTTTATATATTTATTACTTTTTCTCTAGCAACTTGCAAACATGTTTTTCTTGCTTTTTGGCTGCGTGGCTAAGGTTTCGTCTCTTGGCCTTATTCTGCGGAAGGAAGTGTGTGTCTCCGTAGTAGCAGCTGTTCGGAGCATCTGGTCGGTCACAGACTCAGAGGGGGGTCTCGAACCTGTCCCACCGAGCGAAGATTGTGTGTGGGACAGGAGTGACAGGTGTGTTAGCCGCCGCAGACCGCTACATCACACGCGACGGAGGCGTGACACGGCTGTTAATGCAAGATTGTCTCAGGAACATGTGATTAAGAAACACATTAGTTTTAAAGGAGACTATGGTACATGTTCTTTTGAGCTTTTAACCATGTCAGATTAACTCATCAACAGCAGATGGTTGTTTTTAGATCCATCCATCCAGTCCAGTTTATTTATACAGCACTAATAAATACAATAAGGTTGAACAAAGTACTGTACATAAAAAGATACAAAAATGATTAGAGAATACAAAGCAGTGGCAAAAACACACTAAAGCAAAAAGCCAATGAGAACAAGTGATCTTCAGATGGTAACACACAGGGGCAGCTCATCCATGCTAATATGCTAGCTTCAGGCACTGACAGTAACTCCTGTAGTGAGGCCTGTAATACATAGTTCCCACAGACCAATGAATGTCACATGACCTCCTCAGAGACGCCATCTTTGATGGCACGCTGCTGTGTTTGTGCATTCCATTAAACAGAAGAATGAGAATAAATGTAGATATTCAAACGCAAATTGGAAAAAAAAGGGCAACTTTTGAGCAAATAATTGTATATTAATACAATGGCACCACAGTTTAACGTGCTACGGACATGTTTTACATATTTGATCAAATTATGCAGCAAAAATTAACAAGCAATGCAAACATTTCTCAAAAACTTTAGATTTAATACCAGTTGGAGCTCCATTTAATTATTTTAATTATATTAACAATTAATTTAATTAATGCTAATGCCACACGGACACTCTGGATTGCTGTTATTGTTTATTTCCGCGTTTTTGACCGTATGTTTTGGTGAATGGTGGGCAACTGATTTTTCCAGGCGTAAAGAGCAGTTTATTTTATGACACAGATCTTTTTACAGAAGCAATGCTGTTTGTGAACATTGTTTTAGCCCACCATAGAACTATTATTATCTATTTAATACATTTACGTTGCCCTCGAGAGCCTCGGACGCGACACCGATCCTCCTCATAATAAAGTAATCTAACGCTAAATAATGAAACTCTCAAGTTACCAGATATCAGCATACACAAGTTAGTACTGAGTAAATTACGTCTGTCAACACATTATAAGATACGATACGCACCTGACACAAAGTGCTCTGAGCATATTCTTGCGTGTTTTGAGGGAGTTTCTTGCCTGTTTATCTTCGCAAGCCATAACCTCCGTGGTTGTTCTGACAAAAGCTTAGTCTTCTCACATTCATGAAGTCTAATGATGGGTATACTGTAAAATCCAAGTTTAACGGAACCTCCGGCACGATTTGAACATCCATTGACCCAGCAGGAGATGACCATTTTCAACTTTATCACGACATTAACACGTTTCAGCTTCTTTTTCTATTGTTTTGCCCACAGCATGCCAACACAAATGGCACCGGGTCGGCAACTCCCCGTATGTAGTGACGTCATGTGGGAACTATGTATAGTTTGATGACATTGGAGCACGGTCACATCAAAGAAGTTTATTTGAAGAGAAAATGTGTTCTTTACAATTGTATGACTTTGTTGCTGGTAATTTTCAAATTTATTCAAAAATAAATTAAACTGGTAGTGTAAACGACTTTTTAGTATTATGCTTGTGCGCATGTGTGTTACCTTGTGACCTATGTTTCGCGGGTTTTGGTCCTCTATAAATAAATGGGGACCTCACTTTTTGGGAGTCTTCAACTACAATTTACCTCTTTCTGTGTCTCTCATCCTTCTCCCGTTTGGTACGCTACAGTAGCATAGTTACAGGAAGAATGCAAATGTTCGACCTTCATACTTGTTTCAACATGTTTTCTACTCATACTATTTCACGTTTCTCAAACGTGAAAATGCAAAGTACATTGTTTGCATTTTGTGTGAGTTTTGCCCCAATCGTTGACTCTTTTACCATGTTTTATGGCTCTCACTTCTCAGAAAGAAGGTCCTGGGTTTGAGTGGAATTTGTATGTTCTCGTGTTTGCGTAGGTTTCCTCCAGGTGCTGTAGGTCTAACCTGCATGTACAGGGCGACCTCGCTCTCATCTGTGTGGAGTGAGAGACAAAGGCTCACGATTGTAAAGGGCTTTGTGACTCTGGTCTGTGAAAGGCGCTGTATACATAAAGATTACGCTCTTACTAACTACATTAATGAGTCTATGGGCTCCTATATCTCTGAAGATCACATTTTTGACTCTTGGTTTAACCTTTGAAACACTCTGACTGAGTGCATTTTCATTTGACGACGTGGTGTGGACTTTCTAAAGCAGCTGATGACTGGCCACATTTATACAGCACTTCTCTACCTTTCAAGGCACTTTAAGCACTTTATATCAAGGTACTATTCACCCGTTCTGACACGTATTGGTACATTTATGTATGCAGCAAACACGTGCCCGGCCCCCGCTGCTTATCTCTCTGAGCATGAGCTGAAAACTGTATCGTGAGACTCAAAGGAAATCACTTTTTCTACATTTTTTTACGTTTTCTACCCAAACAAACTGTCAGACGAAGCAGACTCTGGGCCTCTCTCTGTGTTAGGCACTTTCTTTCACAAGTGCATATATTAAAGTGGAAAATCTGGGAGAATTTATTTGAAGTAAAGCAGTAAGCGTTCTGAGGATGGAGGACCTTTATACTTATGTTGGTCCCATCGTGCCACTATAAATGTTGATATTAATTCAGTCCAACTCTGCAGATGCTAATCCAAACCAGCCTCACCGCAGCTTCAATCTGTTCTTTTGGATGTTGGATATAAGTTTGTCCTAGACTGAGGACGTATATTTATTCCCGCAGACGGTCTCCTTGCATTACAAATAGTGAGTCGTCCCTTGGTGTTTCCTCTGTTGCATCTGCATCAAGAGCCCACAGCGATTGTCAAGAACGCTGCCAGTTTGACGGGAGAGCTCCGTGGTCGCGGCGGAGCGTTGCTTTGATCTCGGCGGGGGTGCGGCCTCACTCATCCCGCTCCTGTCTTCTCTGTGTTTGATTGTGTCTTTGTGTTTTTGGTTTGCGTCCCAGGTGTGTTCGCGCTCCTTCAAGCCTACGCCTTCCTGCTGTACCTGAAGGACCGGCTGACCAAACAGGAGTTCCAGACGCTGTTCTTCCTCGGGGTGTCGCTAGCCGCCGGCGCAGTCTTCCTCACTGTCATTTATCTCACGTATACAGGTTAGTCTTTAATCCATCTGGGAATTCACTCTTTTAAATGGTCTTATCTTTGTCCTTGGATAAATCTCTATCATATACAGTAGCGGCTCCAGAGATTCCCTCTGACGGCTGCTGCTTTCTTCTGTGTGAAAATGGCAGAGGATTGACGAACCCAGAGTGCATCAGTGGCATCTGGTGCTATCTGGGCCTGAAAGAAATGAATATATGAAAAAGTAGCAAAAAAGGAAGGTCCAACTCAAACTTGAGAATGAATCTTATTGACAAAGTCCTTCTTCAGGACAGAAAACACTTGAACTTCCTTCTTTGTACCGATGCCAGATCCAAATGACCTGCTTCTCAAAAAAAAGCTAATAGTAAAAGTTTATAACAGACTTCTCTCCCTTCATGGACCTATGTGTATATTCTGTGTGTTAACTGTTGATTCTCTGATCTGTGTTGATGATTTCAATGGTTTTGTGAAGTCTCTGAGATGATGCTGTTGTGATTTAGGGCTGTACAAGAATAAGTTGTTGTTGTTCATACATCACAATCCCCTCGGTCCACAGCTTCTTTCAGCCAGTCCTCCACAAAGCCCTGGTCTCAAACATGTCCATATTCAGGTCCAGGGCAGTAGGTGTCAGTGATGCTACCTCCAGGAAGTGATGGAGGAGGGTGGGAGTCTACATCCTGTTTGTGTGCAGGGACTACAGCTGGAAAGTAGCATCTGTCCCTGTTCAAACAAAGAACATACCAATTAGAACCAGCTCCAGCAGATGAGTCTGGTGCTCAATAGAGTGGATTTACAGGTGGAGTACATTTTGGTTCACATTACAGTCTGTGGGAAAATGGCCCATGAGAATCTGAGCTGTAGTACTGACAGTAGTCTTTCAAACTCACTGGAGCAGGGTCTAAGCTCCGGAAACTCCACCCAAATATACATGATTCATGATTATGTTGAGTATAATGGACCAACGCATATATTTTGGTCGTCTGTGTCTTTTATATGGACCGTGAGTCTAGAATAAAGAGTATCATTAGTATTGTTGTCTATGAAGTGAGCCAGTGTCTGTATCCTGAGTGGGCAGTGAGGTCTCGTGCTCTGGACCACAGGAGCTGGTGGGCCATGAGTCTCGGTACTCGTGCTCTGGACCACAGGAGCTGGTGGGCCGTGAGACTCGGTACTCGTGCTCTGGACCACAGGAGCTGGTGGGCCGTGAGACTCGGTACTCGTGCTCTGGACCACAGGAGCTGGTGGGCCGTGAGACTCGGTACTCGTGCTCTGGACCACAGGAGCTGGTGGGCCGTGAGACTCGGTACTCGTGCTCTGGACCACAGGAGCTGGTGGGCCGTGAGTCTCGGTACTCGTGAGTCTCGGTACTCGTGCTCTGGACCACAGGAGCTGGTGGGCTGTAAAAAGAGCATCCACATTTCCTTCCTTTCCTATAAGATACAAGCGTGTGTGATATTTTAGGTTCAGAGCTGCAGGCGCTTGATTCTGTGTAATATTTTATTCATATGTAGCGTCAGTTAGCGGAGATTCCCCGATGCGTTTAGTTGCACACACAACATTTTTGAAAAAACACTTTTGGGAAAACTGCTCGTCAGTAAAAGCCTCCATCTGCTTCACAAAGTGTTAAAACAGCTTTGACTCAAAGTTAGCGCTCGGCAACGGTCAGACGCACAAAAGTGTGATTACAAATATTACTCATCAGAAACTGCACACGATGAATTTGATTTGGAAATAATGCCTTTTACAAATAATGGTTTTCAGTCTTTACCGATGAAACGAGCAGTTTAGTGTTTTTTAAATTGTTGTTGTAAATACTTTACTCATTCCAAGGGAGATTCCAAACATAATAATTCATGGCTTGGCTTAAAATAAAAGGTGATAAATGCTTGAGTCTATGTTTTATATTTACTTTAGAGTATTTTTGAAAACTTTGGAAAAAAACAATTATGTACCAAAAGGGGCCTTAGCTCGAGTTAGCATTAGCATTATAATTAGCATTACCTGCAAACTCTGGGGCCTGGAGAGGAACGGCATGTAGGGTCTTCAGTTATTCTTGAAAGTTTTAAATCAATCAACTTTATTTGTATAGCACCTTTCCTACACACGGCAACACAAAGCAACTCACACCACATCATCGTCAATCATTACAACATAAATTCAGATTCAGATTCATTTATTTGCCATTTGCAGTAAAACCACATAGGAAAAACTGTGCAAGACTACCCCGGTGTGCACCAGACAGAGAAGACGACACACACCAGAGCTCTTGCCACGGCGCCATCTTTACGGCGCCATGCGACGGTCCAATGAGAGCAGACCTAAAATCACACAGGTCTGCTCTCATTGGACCTCAGAGCAGGAGTAATGTGTTCTCCTGCGGGTCACAAGCCTCACAGCTGAACCTCGGACTTTGATGAATGAACTGATCTCTTTGAAGAGTATCACGAGGAAACATGAAAGTAACTGTTTTGTCTGAAGGCGTGTTGTCTAAACTATTGTAGAGTTTTCTTGTGTTTAATCCCAGTATTGTTGGACGTTAGGACTTACAGTCTGTCAGATGTTGTTCTCCAGTTTGAGCTGCCACACTTCACACACACTCAAAATGTGCGATGACACGTTACAACAAGCTGGTCTGTGATTGGCCGGCTGACAGCGCCGTGCATCTGCTGTAGAAGCCGGAGCTGGAGCCGGTGTCGGTGCCTGCGCTGGTGCTGGAGCCGGTGCTGGAGCTGGTGCCGGTGCCGGTGCTCCCCTGATTGAGCTGTGAGTTTGGGGAGTTGCCAGTAATTGAGCGTCGTGGCTTCGCTCCGTTAGACTTTTTCATCTCATAAAGCAGCCTCTTTCTCTACAGTCGAGAGGATTTGAACTCAGAGCCAGGGATCGATCGCTTGGATCAGTACCGTCCTTTAGATACAGGCTCAAACCACCGCTTCCCAAAATGTCTGTGTTTACTGCACTTTGTTCAATACTTAAGTAACGCTTCAGAAAGTCCTGCTCAATCCTGAGACCTGACTCTGAAGTCACTGAAGTCATCTGCTTTTAATGAATATCACTCGTTCATTGCCCTTGAAACGGTTTCATCACGAGATCTCACATGTTTACTTTGGCCTCTGTCCCGTCCAGTGTTGGGCACGTTACTTTGAAAAAGTAATTAGTTATAGTTACTAGTTACTTCTCCCAAAAAGTAACTGAGTTACTAACGGAGTTACTCCACTATAAAAGTAACTAGTTACCAGTAAAAGTAACTATTGCGTTACTTTTTCGTTTTGTTCTGGAACATAATGTGCACTCGACGTGTGCATTTTTACCTTTAACCTCAATGAGTCTGAAATAGTGCCAATATTTCCATCTAGAAAAGTCTGTTTTGCTGCTGAAGTCCTGTTCACTCTTCATCTCTCTCTCACCCGCCACTGTGAATGTGGAAACACCGGTGAAGCACTGACTTCAGTCCAATCAGATGAACATATACATCATATAAATCAAGTGGACAATTTGTTTGGCTACAGCAAAATGTTTCATGGCCGCATTGTTTGCCCGCATTGTTTGTTCATACAAAACGCAAAACTATGAGTTATGGGTCTTACCTTATAAATGACCTGCACAGACCACTTCAGTTCAGACCAGTTCTGTGTTTAAGTCCAGATAATAGTTTGAGCGTAGATATGTAATCCTCCATTTGGAAATGAGTTTTAAAAAGTAAAACAAAACGCGTGTGTCCTCCGTAAACTACTCTGTTTTGCTAGGTGCAGCCGGGTGCATCCAATTTCTAAAATCAACCGTCTTACACTTCACCTCTCTTTCTTATCATTCCTATAGTAATTGAAAAATTACCGTTAGTGCATTTTAAATTATCTTAAAATGTGTTATATGTATGTTAGCCAAACTTGTTGCAGCTCTTAGCAGATAAACCAGGAAGAGAAAGGAGCTTATCGATGGAATTGTATGCAGCCGACTTCTGCGCTCACATGCGCTCCTCTGAGGCTGACCTCACGGTGATACAAGCTGTGGTTGAGCGCGATTAAGACCCATATTTGTTTCAAAAACACAATTTATGAGCCATCCTCTCAACTGTAGACATGTGGATTGTAAAGGAAATATGATTTACATCAGCCAATAATTGCTGAGAGGTTTTCTCATCCTCCCTTCTCTCATGACAACACGCGCACGAGTCCTATCACGAAGTAAAAAGAGAAGTTCATTGTGCGTCTTTAGTAACGCGCAGTAACGGGATGTCGGAAATGATAACGGCGTTATAGTTACAGTCAAAGTAATTAGTTAGATTACTCGTTACTGAAAAAAGTAACGGCGTTAGTAACGTCTGTCACGTCTGTCCCGTCTGTCACGTCTGTCACGTCTGTCCCGTCTGTCACGTCTGTCACATCTGTCACGTCTGTCCCGTCTGTCACGTCTGTCCCGTCTGTTCCGTCTGTCACATCTATCCCGTCTGTCCTATCTGTCACGTCTGTCCCATCTGTCCCGTCTGTCACGTCTGTCACGTCTGTCCCATCTGTCACGTCTGTCCCATCTGTCACGTCTGTCCCATCTGTCACGTCTGTCCCATCTGTCCCGTCTGTCCCATCTGTCACGTCTGTCCCGTCTGTCCCATCTGTCACGTCTGTCCCATCTGTCACGTCTGTCCCGTCTGTCCCATCTGTCACGTAAGTCCCATCTGTCACGTCTGTCCCGTCTGTCCCATCTGTCCCGTCTGTCACGTCTGTCACGTCTGTCCCGTCTGTCCCGTCTGTCACGTCTGTCACATCTGTCACGTCTGTCCCGTCTGTCCCGTCTGTCCCGTCTGTTCCGTCTGTCACGTCTGTCCCATCTGTCCCGTCTGTCACGTCTGTCCCATCTGTCCCGTCTGTCCCGTCTGTCCCGTCTGTCCCGTCTGTCACGTCTGTCACGTCTGTCACATCTATCCCGTCTGTCACATCTGTCACATCTGTCACATCTGTCACGTCTCTCCCGTCCGTCACGTCTGTCCCGTCTGTCACGTCTGTCCCATCTGTCCCGTCTGTCCCATCTGTCACGTCTGTCCCGTCTGTCCCATCTGTCACGTCTGTCCCATCTGTCACGTCTGTCACGTCTGTCCCATCTGTCCCGTCTGTCCCGTCTGTCCCGTCTGTCCCGTCTGTCACGTCTGTCACGTCTGTCACATCTATCCCGTCTGTCACATCTGTCACATCTGTCACATCTGTCACGTCTCTCCTGTCCGTCACGTCTGTCCCATCTGTCACGTCTGTCCCATCTGTCCCGTCTGTCCCATCTGTCACGTCTGTCCCGTCTGTCCCATCTGTCACGTCTGTCCCATCTGTCACGTCTGTCCCGTCTGTCCCATCTGTCACGTAAGTCCCATCTGTCACGTCTGTCCCGTCTGTCCCGTCTGTCACGTCTGTCACGTCTGTCCCGTCTGTCCCGTCTGTCACGTCTGTCACATCTGTCACGTCTGTCTGTCCCGTCTGTCCCGTCTGTTCCGTCTGTCACGTCTGTCCCATCTGTCCCGTCTGTCACGTCTGTCCCATCTGTCCCGTCTGTCCCGTCTGTCACGTCTGTCACGTCTGTCACATCTATCCCGTCTGTCACATCTGTCACATCTGTCACATCTGTCACGTCTCTCCCGTCCGTCACGTCTGTCCCGTCTGTTCCGTCTGTCCCATCTGTCCCGTCTGTCCCGTCTGTTCCGTCTGTCCCATCTGTCCCATCTGTCACATCTGTCCCATCTGTCACATCTGTCACATCTGTCACATCTGTCCCGTCTGTCACATCTGTCACGTCTGTCACGTCTGTCACGTCTGTCCCGTCTGTCCCGTCTGTCCCGTCTGTCCCATCTGTCACATCTGTCCCGTCTGTCACATCTGTCCCGTCTGTCACGTCTGTCACGTCTGTCACGTCTGTCACGTCTGTCCCGTCTGTTCCGTCTGTCCCATCTGTCCCGTCTGTCCCGTCTGTCACGTCTGTCCCGTCTGTCACGTCTGTCCCATCTGTCCCGTCTGTCCCATCTGTCCCGTCTGTCCCATCTGTTCCGTCTGTCCCATCTGTCCCGTCTGTCCCATCTGTCACGTCTGTCCCGTCTGTCCCATCTGTCACGTCTGTCCCATCTGTCACGTCTGTCCCGTCTGTCCCATCTGTCACGTAAGTCCCATCTGTCACGTCTGTCCCGTCTGTCCCATCTGTCCCGTCTGTCACGTCTGTCACGTCTGTCACATCTATCCCGTCTGTCCTATCTGTCACGTCTGTCACGTCTGTCACGTCTGTCACATCTATCCCGTCTGTCCTATCTGTCACGTCTGTCCCATCTGTCCCGTCTGTCACGTCTGTCACGTCTGTCCCATCTGTCACGTCTGTCCCATCTGTCCCGTCTGTCACGTCTGTCACGTCTGTCACGTCTGTCCCATCTGTCACGTCTGTCCCATCTGTCACGTCTGTCCCATCTGTCCCGTCTGTCCCATCTGTCACGTCTGTCCCGTCTGTCCCATCTGTCACGTCTGTCCCATCTGTCACGTCTGTCCCGTAAGTCCCATCTGTCACGTCTGTCCCGTCTGTCCCATCTGTCACGTCTGTCACGTCTGTCACGTCTGTCACGTCTGTCCCGTCTGTCACGTCTGTCACGTCTGTCACATCTATCCCGTCTGTCCCGTCTGTCACGTCTGTCACATCTGTCACATCTGTCACATCTGTAAACACTGCATAAAATTATGAAAGTTGCCCACCCTTAATAGCAAACCAATTTAAAATTGTTGACTGTTTTACATATTTGGGTATTCGTATTGTCCCTCAACACAAAAATATTATAGCTTGTAATTATGAACCACTACTACAAGAAATTACAGAATTGCTAGACAGGTGGAAAAGTATTCCCATGTCTCTTATAGGTAAAATAAATGTTCTTAAAATGAATGTAATGCCTAAACTCCTGTATATTTTTCAAAACCTTCCACTCCCTCCTCCGACCAACCTGTTCACTCAGCTTAAAACACTCTTTATTCGTTTTTTATGGAATAACAGACGTCCCAGGACACGCTTGTCTTTACTCTACTTGCCGTTTGAAAGAGGAGGGCTTAAATGTCCTAACCCAACGTTTTACTTCTGGGCCACACAACTACGAACATTGTCGTTTTATTTCACAGATAATGATTCTCCTGTCTGGAAAAAAATGGAGGAGACAGAACTTGATTTGCCCCTTCCTCTTTATATGTACTCTGCAAAGTTATCACTCCTGAAAAAGAAAACAAAAAGTCCTATTGTGAAGAAAATGATTGCAGTGTGGTGTAAAGTTAAAAAACATTTGGGTGATTTGTCCTCTCTCTCGGTTTTCAGCCCGATATGGGGCAACCATGCTTTCTCTCCTGGAAAGGCAGATGGGGGATTCAAGTCCTGGGCCAAAAAGGGGCTGGAAAAAATTGGGGATCTTTACAATGAACAAAAGGTATTGATGAAGTTTCAAGAATTGGTTGATACATTTAACATTCCTCAAAATCATTTCTTCAAATATCTGCAGTTAAGAAACTTCATAAGAGCACAACAATATCAACAATTATCTATCCCTGCATTGTCTACCATAGAAAAAATGATGAACATGGATAGCATGGCAAAGGGACTAATCTCTAAGTTCTATAAATCTCTGATGGATGGTAGTACTGAAACATCTGTTAAAAGGCTGGAGGCTTGGAGAGAAGACTTCGGTGTTGATGTTTCAATAGAAGAATGGCAGGAAGCATGTAGACATGCACAGTCTAAAACAACCAATACACGTCTAAAACTACTGCAGCACAATTGGTTGATGAAAACATATATAACACCAGAAAAATTAAACAAATATAATTGTGCCATTCCAGACACATGCACTAAATGCAAAGTGGAAAAGGGTACTCTCTTCCATTGTCTTTGGCAATGTCCAGAAATACAAAAGTTTTGGCAGGAAGTTGCGGGTCAGGTTCAAAATATTCTGAGTGTCCAAATTACATTTGCACCAAAATTTGTTATTTTAGGATCATATGCAGAAGCACGACTCAGAGAGAGTCACAAGGCCTTCATAAATGTTGCTATATTGTTAGCAAAGAGATTGATAGCACTCTGTTGGAAAGACATTAAAAGACCAAATATAGGACGATGGCTTTCTGAATTATCTACAACACTCCCTTTGGAAAAGATCACATATACAATCAAACATAAACAAGATCAATTCGGCAAAATCTGGGACCCATTCATCAAGTATATTGCAACAACGGATTTAACAAATATGATGGAAGAGACTGAACACAATTAAATTGTATCTTTTTTTTTTTTTACTCTGCTGCCCTAAAATAAAAATAAACACCAAAATGCTAGACTATTTTTAATTAAATTTGAATAGATCCCCAAGTGATAATGTATAAAAACCATATTCCTGATTAATGTATGTAATTGATTTTGTTTTATTGTTTGTGTTTGTATTTGTTTTGTTCTTTTTTTTTTGAAAATCAAAATTCAATAAAAATATTGTTGGCAAAAAAAAAAATTATGAAAGTTTCCTAATTTGAGCATATTCTGAATCATGAACTGGACACATGAGATGACGAGGTGATGACCAAAGCTGTTTTGATTATGTCTGAATAGAAATAAATCCATTGTCTCTGTTCTGACAATGGCTCTGACACCAGTCCTGTGTATTTAACACTCGTCGGTGTTCTGCCGTTCACATAAACACATTTCTGTCAGATACTGTTGGTAATCCACCTTTAATTACTGTTTTACAACAACCTGCCCAGGGGCTACGGCTGTAAATTAGCACTGCTGCTAATCTGGAACAATGCATCTCCTTTTGGTTAATGTTGATTTTCCACTGTCCCTGTAAAAATAAAAGCCATTCCACACCAAGCAGCAACATGTGGTTCTGCTCTGGAGATAAACGGATGGAGATGATGCTCTGACATAAAAGAAACACATACAAGGCCAAAGTCAAGCAAGTACTGCATTTATTTCACACAAACATTTCTCTTTTGAGCCATTATCGTGATTGGTCTATTCTGTAATGTCTTTTATAATTCAATATATTATGAAAATGTCATATTAAGCAAAGGTTTTCTGTATTTCAGGTTTAAATGGTTTGAGAGACACTTTATTGGTGCCTTCAGTTCCTCGGCTTCATCTCTGGTTGAAATGAGTCTGATCTAATTCATCTGTTTGTCAAAATTACTCTTTTTCTCAATATTTTCAAGGTTTCCACTGGTTTCAATCCTGCTTTTGTGAATATTCTGCCCAGAGACGCCAACAGTTTCCACAGAATCCCTCCTGCTCCAGTGAAAGCCTTTGACAGATCGGTCTCTTCATCAGTCGTGTCTCGGTCTCGCTCCGTAACCACGGCGACCATTTCATTACTTTATTGTTCCTCGTTGGTCATAACTTGTGTCTAATGTTTCGAACTTTAGACAGATTCCATTGAAACGTGTGGGTTCAGATCCATAGCATGTGTTTGTGGTCGAGCCCCAGAGCCACGTTTAGACTGACGTATTTCCAGATCAAAGCTTTAGTGAGTTTTATTTGCTTCTGAAATGGTTTTGTTTCCACACGAGACTAAACTGCTCGTTACGGAGTCAGTGCTCGTTACGGAGTCTGTGCTCGTTACGGAGTCAGTGCTCGTTACGGAGTCTGTGCTCGTTACGGAGTCTGTGCTCGTTACGGAGTCAGTGCTCGTTACGGAGTCAGTGCTCGTTACGGAGTCAGTGCTCGTTACGGAGTCAGTGCTCGTTACGGAGTCAGTGCTCGTTACGGAGTCAGTGCTCGTTACGGAGTGTGTGCTCGTTACGGAGTGTGTGCTCGTTACGGAGTGTGTGCTCGTTACGGAGTCTGTGCTCGTTACGGAGTCAGTGCTCGTTACGGAGTCAGTGCTCGTTACGGAGTCTGTGCTCGTTACGGAGTCAGTGCTCGTTACGGAGTCAGTGCTCGTTACGGAGTGTGTGCTCGTTACGGAGTCTGTGCTCGTTACGGAGTCTGTGCTCGTTACGGAGTCTGTGCTCGTTACGGAGTCTGTGCTCGTTACGGAGTCTGTGCTCGTTACGGAGTCTGTGCTCGTTACGGAGTCTGTGCTCGTTACGGAGTCTGTGCTCGTTACGGAGTCTGTGCTCGTTACGGAGTCTGTGCTCGTTACGGAGTCTGTGCTCGTTACGGAGTCTGTGCTCGTTACGGAGTCTGTGCTCGTTACGGAGTCTGTGCTCGTTACGGAGTCTGTGCTCGTTACGGAGTCTGTGCTCGTTACGGAGTCTGTGCTCGTTACGGAGTCAGTGCTCGTTACGGAGTCTGTGCTCGTTACGGAGTCTGTGCTCGTTACGGAGTCTGTGCTCGTTACGGAGTCAGTGCTCGTTACGGAGTCTGTGCTCGTTACGGAGTCTGTGCTCGTTACGGAGTCTGTGCTCGTTACGGAGTCTGTGCTCGTTACGGAGTCTGTGCTCGTTACGGAGTCAGTGCTCGTTACGGAGTCTGTGCTCGTTACGGAGTCTGTGCTCGTTACGGAGTCAGTGCTCGTTACGGAGTCAGTGCTGCCTCCATCTTCCCTCATTTACTTTATTTATTAGTGTTTTAGACTTTTCAATAGGATTTGTTTGTGACTAATCAGTAACGAAGACGATCATAAGAATCACCACAAACCTTTAGTTTTTAAAGATTATAAAAGAAGATTCTGTAATTAAGGATATTCCAGTGTGAGTCTGGTGTGTGTGTGAATGGTTGGTGGAGGTGGGAGGGGCTTCTGTCAGTGTGCCCCAGGGCAGCTGTGGCTACAGTAGTAGATTATCACCACAGTGTTTGGAGAGAAAGAATGATGATGTGAAGAGACTTTGAGCGTCTGAAACAGCGCTGTATGAAACCAGTGCATTATTATATCATAATAATAATAATACATTTTATTTATAATGCACTTTACATTTCAGCGAAATCTCAATGTGCTTCAAAACAGGGAACATCCCCAAGATACACAGCATTAATATTTGTGTTTATACTTCTGTAATTCTCTTGTGTTTTTCAACCAGTGTGCCTTATAATGTTATTGAGCCTATATCATCTACTTGGTCAAAATAATGTGAAATAAAATAATTAAAAACACTTCTTTGCACTTTTGTGTTACACACTTTTATGAGAGTGACGTTATTTTGTTTTGTTATTAAAGTTTCAGCCGGTGGTTTTTCATGGGATTGTTTTAAATAAAAAAAGTGCCACAACTCAAAGTTTGGGGAACACTGCTCTGGTGCAGGAATGTTGGATTTATCCTCCTTTAAACCTTTAACTAATCCTTAAACTCACAGATTAGTAAAACACAGTGATCAGAGACAGCACCTTTAAACATCAGTCTGAGTGTAAATGTTTAATGTCTCTGACTGGATCTGAGTCTGTGTCTTGTTCCTCTGCAACGGCTCAATAATAATATTTCAGGCTAATAATGAAAACTAATGTCTTCTTTATTCCACTGGATTTTTTAATAATTAGCCTGAAGCTGTGGATTCCTTTGCACCGACTGCGGTCTCAGGTCTAAGGTCTCAGGTCTAAGGCCTCAGGTCTCAGGTCTCAGGTCTAAGGTCTCAGGTCTAAGGCCTCAGGTCTCAGGTCTCAGGTCTAAGGTCTCAGGTCTAAGGTCTCAGGTCTAAGGTCTCAGGACTAAAGCAGCAGTGAAAAGATTCTGATTGATTCTTTCTCTTGTCTCCAGGTCACATCGCACCGTGGAGTGGGCGCTTCTATTCACTCTGGGACACGGGGTAAGAGTGTGTGTCTGTGTGTGTGTCTGTGTGTCTGTATGTGTGTTTGTGTTTGTGTGTCTGTCTGTGTGTGTCTCTGTGTAGAGACTTTTTATGTGCTCCTGAAGTGCACTTGTGTCCAGGTTGTGTAGTCAGGCTTGTGTGAGGAAAGTGTTGTGTTTTTATGATTGAATGTCAACAGTGTGTGACAGATGTTTGTGTCGGTGTCAAAGTGAAAGCTTCACATTTCCAAACATCTTTATCGTCTGGAGTTTTTCTTTGTAATGAACCTGAAATACAGATGCAGTCCTTTCACACCTGCAGTGTGTTGTTTCAGTAAATGACTCGATGAAGAGTCTGATTAGAAAGACTGTAATGAGTCTAAAGCAATGTTTTTTAAGGTGAATTACAGAAACACATTTTTTAACAATATTTTAGTTTTGAGTTTCAGCTGTTTACATGACGGCGGTGGCTCTGTTTTTAAAGTCTTATGTTATAGTGACTGCTCTATCATCTGAAAACAAAACATTCTTCACACTTGCATCATTCTCAGCTCTAAGACACATTTATACTTTATTCTGTTCAGACCTGAGAGGCTGAAGTCAAGATGCAAGAGACAAAACTAATATAAAAATGTTCAATGTTTGTTCACTTCCAAACGCGTATCACTCTTGGGCAGAAATGGATGATCTGGACGCACCATGGAATCTTTTTTTCTCCTAATCTGTATTTCCTTAGTCCCAGTGCAGTCCAAACACGACCCTCCTCCTCCACAGAAGCTTCTGCGTCTTCTGTGGTTTGATATTTCAGTCGATCGATGGCCTCCCGGTGCTGACTGATGCATTCTGGGTCCAGCCTTTTCCCTTTTCCTTCTGGAGCTGGAGATTAGAATTCCTTAAGGTTTTCCTCTCACTGCTCAAATCGCAAAAGGCTTATCGCACTGAGCACCACCTGAGAAATATAAGGCTCTGGATCTTTGATAAAAGCAAAACAAGATGGAGACGAAAGCACGAACGCAGGTGTGGTTCTGATCTGACCTCGGTTCAAGATAGTTTGGTATAAAACTGACACAAAAAGGACAAAGTTTGGACTAAACAACACTCATTAAAGTCCATTTGAAGACACATGCGCACTTCTTCCCTCTAGTGGTAGAATTCGGAAATTGCATCCTGCCCAGAACGCAAAAGTGATGTAAGCAACTTTAAATTTGATTTTCAATATTCTGTAAATATCTGACCATGGGATATTGTAGTATTATATGCAGTATTTTAATATTGTTCAACATTGATTTAAAATGGTCTCTCCCTCGGAATCACTACAACCAGATTTGGTGGAGACTGGTTTAACCAATGACAAGGCCTTGAAGAAATGAAATTGTTTTGACCAATCAGGAAGCAGCAGGGTGAGTGTGGGGGAGTGGGACTAGTGCATGGATCTATAATAATAACTGGATAGGTTATTACTAGCTTACAGCTGTCCCACCCATGGCCACAGGGGGCGCTGTGGTACTGCAGACTAAATTCACGAGGGCTACACAGAAAAACGTCCCATAGAACCCAATGTAAACTAAAACAGCTCGAACTCAGCTGACAGAGAACCTGACAGAGAACCTGACAGAGAACCTGACAGAGAACCTGACAGAGAACCTGACAGAGAACCTGACAGAGAACCTGACAGAGAACCTGACAGAGAACCTGACAGAGAACCTGACAGAGAACCTAACAGAGAACCTAACAGAGAACCTAACAGAGAACCTAACAGAGAACCTAACAGAGAACCTAACAGAGAACCTAACAGAGAACCTAACAGAGAACCTAACAGAGAACCTGACAGAGACCCTGCAGCTTTCATAAAGATCAGATTTTGTGTGGATGTTAGTGTCTCTTGTCGTCCTGAACTTTTTTTGTTCTTAAATCCTTCGGTTTTTCTTAAATCCACACTTTACTGCCACAAACTCTGCTCCTTTCCTTCCCGCTCTGACTCCGCCCTGCTGCTGCTCTGATCAGCTCTGATTGGTCAGAGCGAGGCCGAGCCCCTCTGTGCACGTGCATGAGAGACAAACACGCGTATTTGGCGCAATGCATCATGGGAGCTTGTCCACTGCACAGAACCGGGAGGACCAGACGCCCAAATATGGGCAAGTTCTGCTAATCTCCCGTTCTCCATGAAGCCCCATGTGCTAGGGTTAGGGTTAGGCTTTGGTCCAGCCACAGAGAAGGCCCTGTCCTCGGGTTTTAAGCCTGGTCTTGGAGCTGGATCTGGGTCTCGGACCTCGGACCTCAGTCAAGACCTAATGACTGCTTTTTCTTATTTGCACGAATCATTTGTTTCTCAATATCTCTGAATACTGCAGACGACTGGAACAAAACGTGATGAGATTTGAGACGAACCCGGATCAAAGGAGGATGTGTTTAGCTCCACATGAGGTCGTCTGAGATGGCTCCAAGAGTCTGACTCTAGAGTCTGTTACAAACTCAGGATAAACACAGAACAAACTCAGGATAAACACAGAACAAACTCAGGATAAACACAGAACAAACTCAGGATAAACACAGAACAAACTCAGGATAAACACAGAACAAACTCAGGATAAACACAGAACAAACTCAGGATAAACACAGAACAAACTCAGGATAAACACAGAACAAACCATTTGTTTCCGTGGAGAAAAATCATCTTTATTCATAATTCTGCTGTTAATCAGACACAGTTCCTGTGTGTGTGTGTGTGTTCAGTTATTACGTGTGTGTGTGTGTGTGTGTGTTCAGTTATTACATGTGTGTGTGTGTTCGGTTATTACCTGTGTGTGTGTGTGTTCAGTTATTACGTGTGTGTGTGTGTGTGTTCGGTTATTACATGTGTGTGTGTGTGTTCAGTTATCACATGTGTGTGTGTGTTCGGTTATTACATGTGTGTGTGTGTGTGTTCAGTTATCACATGTGTGTGTGTGTTCGGTTATTACATGTGTGTGTGTGTGTGTGTGTGTGTGTGTGTGTTCAGTTATTACCTGTGTGTGTGTGTGTGTGTGTTCAGTTATTACATGTGTGTGTGTGTGTGTTCGGTTATTACATGTGTGTGTGTGTTTGTGTGTTCAGTTATTACATGTGTGTGTGTGTGTGTTCAGTTATTACATGTGTGTGTGTGTTCGGTTATTACATGTGTGTGTGTGTGTGTGTGTTCGGTTATTACATGTGTGTGTGTGTGTGTTCAGTTATCACATGTGTGTGTGTGTTCGGTTATCACATGTGTGTGTGTGTTCGGTTATTACATGTGTGTGTGTGTGTGTGTGTTCGGTTATTACATGTGTGTGTGTGTTCAGTTATTACATGTGTGTGTGTGTGTGTGTTCAGTTATTACGTGTGTGTGTGTGTGTGTTCAGTTATTACATGTGTGTGTGTTCAGTTATTACATGTGTGTGTGTGTGTTCAGTTATTACATGTGTGTGTGTGTGTGTGTTCAGTTATTACATGTGTGTGTGTGTTCAGTTATTACATGTGTGTGTGTGTGTGTTCAGTTATCACATGTGTGTGTGTGTGTGTTCAGTTATTACATGTGTGTGTGTGTGTGTGTGTGTTCAGTTATTACATGTGTGTGTGTGTGTGTGTGTTCAGTTATTACGTGTGTGTGTGTGTGTGTGTGTTCAGTTATTACGTGTGTGTGTGTGTGTGTGTGTTCTCAGTTATTACGTGTGTGTGTGTGTGTGTGTGCAGTTATTACATGTGTGTGTGTGTGTGTCTTCAGTTATTACATGTGTGTGTGTGTGTGTGTTCAGTTATTACATGTGTGTGTGTTCAGTTATTACATGTGTGTGTGTGTTCAGTTATTACATGTGTGTGTGTGTGTGTGTTCAGTTATTACATGTGTGTGTGTGTGTGTGTTCAGTTATTACATGTGTGTGTGTGTGTGTGTTCAGTTATTACATGTGTGTGTGTGTGTGTGTGTTCAGTTATTACGTGTGTGTGTGTGTGTTCTCAGTTATTACATGTGTGTGTGTGTGTGTTCAGTTATTACATGTATGTGTCTGAGTTCTCAGTTATTACATGTGTGTGTGTGTGTGTGTGTTCAGTTATTACATGTGTGTGTGTGTGTGTGTGTGTGTGTGTTCAGTTATTACATGTGTGTGTGTGTGTGTTCAGTTATTACATGTGTGTGTGGGTGTGTGTTCAGTTATTACATGTGTGTGTGTGTGTGTGTGTTCAGTTATTACATGTGTGTGTCTGTGAGTTCTCAGTTATTACATGTGTGTGTGTGTTTTCAGTTATTACATGTGTGTGTGTGTGTGTGTGTGTGTTCAGTTATTACATGTGTGTGTGTGTGTGTTCAGTTATTACATGTGTGTGTGTGTGTGTTCTCAGTTATTACATGTGTGTGTCTGTGAGTTCTCAGTTATTACGTGTGTGTGTGTGTGTGTTCAGTTATTACATGTGTGTGTGTGTGTGTGTTCAGTTATTACATGTGTGTGTGTGTGTGTGTGTGTGTGTGTTCAGTTATTACATGTGTGTGTGTGTGTGTGTTCAGTTATTACATGTGTGTGTGTGTGTGTGTGTTCAGTTATTACATGTGTGTGTGTGTGTGTGTTCAGTTATTACATGTGTGTGTCTGTGAGTTCTCAGTTATTACATGTGTGTGTGTGTTTTCAGTTATTACATGTGTGTGTGTGTGTGTGTTCAGTTATTACATGTGTGTGTGTGTGTGTGTGTGTTCAGTTATTACGTGTGTGTGTGTGTGTGTTCTCAGTTATTACATGTGTGTGTGTGTGTGTGTTCAGTTATTACATGTGTGTGTCTGAGTTCTCAGTTATTACATGTGTGTGTGTGTGTGTGTGTGTTCAGTTATTTACATGTGTGTGTGTGTTCGGTTATCACATGTGTGTGTGTGTTCGGTTATTACATGTGTGTGTGTGTGTGTGTTCGGTTATTACATGTGTGTGTGTGTTCAGTTATTACATGTGTGTGTGTGTGTGTGTTCAGTTATTACGTGTGTGTGTGTGTGTGTTCAGTTATTACATGTGTGTGTGTGTGTGTGTGTTCAGTTATTACATGTGTGTGTGTGTGTGTTCAGTTATTACATGTGTGTGTGTGTGTGTGTGTGTGTGTGTGTTCAGTTATTACATGTGTGTGTGTGTGTGTTCAGTTATTACATGTGTGTGTGTGTGTGTGTGTTCAGTTATTACATGTGTGTGTGTGTGTGTGTTCAGTTATTACGTGTGTGTGTGTGTGTGTTCTCAGTTATTACATGTGTGTGTGTGTGTGTGTTCAGTTATTACATGTGTGTGTCTGAGTTCTCAGTTATTACATGTGTGTGTGTGTGTGTGTGTGTTCAGTTATTACATGTGTGTGTGTGTGTTCAGTTATTACGTGTGTGTGTGTGTGTGTTCAGTTATTACATGTGTGTGTGTGTGTGTGTGTGTGTGTTCAGTTATTACATGTGTGTGTGTGTGTGTGTGTGTGTGTTCAGTTATTACATGTGTGTGTCTGAGTTCTCAGTTATTACATGTGTGTGTGTGTGTGTGTGTGTGTTCAGTTATTACGTGTGTGTGTGTGTGTTCAGTTATTACATGTGTGTGTGTGTGTGTGTGTGTGTGTGTTCAGTTATTACATGTGTGTGTGTGTGTGTGTGTTCAGTTATTACATGTGTGTGTGTGTGTGTTCAGTTATTACATGTGTGTGTGTGTGTGTGTGTGTGTTCAGTTATTACATGTGTGTGTCTGTGAGTTCTCAGTTATTACATGTGTGTGTGTGTGTGTGTGTTCAGTTATTACATGTGTGTGTCTGAGTTCTCAGTTATTACGTGTGTGTGTGTGTGTGTGTGTGTTCAGTTATTACATGTGTGTGTGTGTGTGTTCAGTTATTACATGTGTGTGTGTGTGTGTGTGTTCAGTTATTACATGTGTGTGTGTGTGTGTGTGTGTGTTCAGTTATTACATGTGTGTGTCTGTGAGTTCTCAGTTATTACATGTGTGTGTGTGTTTTCAGTTATTACATGTGTGTGTGTGTGTGTGTTCAGTTATTACATGTGTGTGTGTGTGTGTGTTCAGTTATTACGCTCAGTTATTACATGTGTGTGTGTGTGTGTTCAGTTATTACATGTGTGTGTCTGAGTTCTCAGTTATTACATGTGTGTGTGTGTGTGTGTGTTCAGTTATTACATGTGTGTGTGTGTGTGTGTTCAGTTATTACATGTGTGTGTCTGAGTTCTCAGTTATTACATGTGTGTGTGTGTGTGTGTGTGTGTGTGTGTGTGTGTGTGTTCAGTTATTACATGTGTGTGTGTGTGTGTTCAGTTATTACATGTGTGTGTGTGTGTGTTCAGTTATTACATGTGTGTGTGTGTGTTCAGTTATTACATGTGTGTGTGTTCAGTTATTACATGTGTGTGTGTGTGTGTGTGTGTGTGTTCAGTTATTACATGTGTGTGTCTGTGAGTTCTCAGTTATTACATGTGTGTGTGTGTTTTCAGTTATGCTAAGATCCACATCCCGATCATTGCCTCGGTGTCGGAGCACCAGCCGACCACGTGGGTTTCCTTCTTCTTCGACCTCCACATTCTCGTCTGTACGTTTCCCGCCGGGCTCTGGTTCTGCATCAAGAACATCAACGACGAGAGAGTTTTTGGTGAGAACCAACAACACGCTTCAGAATCTGTGTTTTAGGCCGTTTTGAAGAAGGTCCTTTAAATCAACACACAAACATGAACACACAAACACAAACATGAACACACAAACACAAACACAAGGAGGCACGCAGCAGACTTCCCCTCCTCATGGGCACAGTGGGGAAAGTGTCTTGCCCAAGGACACAGCCACATCAGAGGCAGTGGCAGAAGTTTCACTCACCCCAAGTACTGCACACATCATAAAGTTCAGTGTCATTCAGCCAACTTCAGCTCAGTCTTTTACAATCTGAGTCATCTGCCCAGGGGAAGTTCTAGAGTATACATTATAGTGTGAGTGTATTACAGACGTATCTACAGACAGAATATTCCCTTAGATGGTGTGCTGCTCATTCCTAATGTTCTGTATCTAAAGGATATTATACATAAATACTTATTATACAAAAACACAGATGAAGTCAGACGTTAAACAGTTAAAGCTACTTTTATTTCTTCAATCATGTATTTGATTGTTCCAACAGAAAGAGTTTTGTAAAAACATTGTGAGACCAAACCATAATAACCATAATTGTAAGAAAAAGACCCGTGACTCACTTTGGCCTCAGAAAGACTGGTTCTGTTCCCTCCTGTGTCAGTTTGAGGCCAACGACTCCAGATCTGTCTGAGAGCGAGGGACTGCTCTTGTTCCATTTGTTACAGACTAACAACAGACTAAAAATACAACCTTAATATAATCATGGAAACGAACACATTTAAAAGGCTGTGATTAACTCAGAACCAAAAACAAAGCAAATATTTGGCCACAGGTAAAAGCTCATCATACTTTGGAGAAGCTTCGATGTTTGTGAATGACTCGAGTCTAATTGAATTTTGGCACAAACAAAGTTGATGCTTCAGTGTTAATGGCTTCAAAACCATTTCTCATTTATCAAATCTGCTTTTCACTTGTGCTCGAAACATTCCCAAACTCTGCACGTGGACATTTCATTTACATAAATGATTCATTCATCAGAACAATCCAAGAGAAGTCTTTTAGGACGACGCGAGACAAAGACACATGTCTGAGTCTGATATCGCGTTTCTTTCTCTGTAAAGTATCAGAAATGTAAATGTGCACTTTAAAAATCCCAGAAAGAAGAATCATCCTCTGCATTTGACCCTGATGCCCTAAGGCGTCCATCAGGAGCAGTGGTCGCCGTAGTAACGGCGCCCGGAAACCATCTCCAGATGTTTATGCTCTGGGTCAGGACCAGAGCTGGAGGATTTAACCCAGTGAGCATGTTTTTAGTGGTAGGGGAAACTGGAGCACCCGGAGGAAACCTACGCAGACACGGGGAGAACATGCAAACTCCACTCAGAAAGAGTCAGTCTCTGCTCGGTACCAAACAACTCCAGGTTCTTCTTCTTCTGAGTGTGAAGGACGAGCACCGAGTCCTGTAAACACACTGCCACCAGTCTGTGAAGAGGTGCATGATGGGAAACGCTCTGATGTGGCAGAAAGACACAGACGTTATTGGTATCGATCAGAACTGGACCGGGTCAGAACTCATTATGTTTGTTTTTAGTCCTGGAACCAAACGGGAATAAAACTGGGCAGGTTTTTGAAGTTTAGAGAGACTTTGCTTTTACACAAAAATATTCATAAAAACCATATTTACATAAAAAACACAACAGAAAAGAAAAGAAAATAAGGAATAAAACCGTAAAAGTGGTGAAAAGGTTCTTAGTCTGGATCCAGAGTAAAAACTGTCTGGGTTTAGTTTAAAGAGACTATTGACATCACCATCCATCTTCTGCTTTATCCGGGGCCGGGTCTCAGGGGCAGCAGCTTTTCTTCTGCACACACACCACCTCCAGTTCATCTGGGGGAATCCTGGGTACCTCTGTGTCCCGGGTCGTCCCTCTGTGTCCCGGGTCGTCCCTCTGTGTCCCGGGTCGTCCCACTGTGTCCCCGGGTCACTCAGATTAATAGTTAATAGCTGGATACACAGACTTCAACATAAGGGCACAGACCTGGGCTGTCATCCTGGTCCTAAAGACCTTGTGTGGCCGGGTTTTCACTCCAACCAAACAGGAGCACATCAGACTCCTCCCATTTCCTGTGAGTCCAGTATAAACAGTCGGAGTCTTTTGAGTCCAGTTTGAGTCGTCTTTACCTGCAGCATAATTCTTCAGCCTTAAATCTGTGGTTAAGACAATCACCAGTGAAGCAGCTGCAGTAGAATTAGGATTAACCTCTTAACACCCACCGGCGCGCCGGCGTGCCGTTTTTATGTTTTTAAATGTTCTGCTGGCAATAACAGATGTATTTTGAACACCAAACCCCAAAAGCTGTATATCATTTTAAAGCTTATTTTCTTATCTACATTTATATACAAGTGTATACAAGTGTTCAATTCCGAAATAGTTTTTTACCTTTGGGCTTGTGCTGTACAAATAAATCGGCTCTCCTCCCAGCTTCCAATACATCATTCTCTCTGGAACAGTCCAAAGGAAAATTATATCCACTTGTATTTCCCAAAGTAAAATCCATTCTGCAGGAATAATCCAAAAATGTGCATTTATCTTTAGCGAAAGAAACGAAAAAAAAGAGCACAGATGTTTCTTTCAGTTTTAACGGACTTTTAGCTTTGTTTTTCACCCGAACATCTGGTATCTACGTGTTCCTTAGCTCCTTATCTTTCAAATGAGACTACTCCCGAAAAGCTAGACCAATTTTTGGGTCTGCAAGAGCTCCCGTGAGTACAGCTAGCGCTGCTGTTTGCTGATCACTGATCTTTGTTGTGGTCCCTACTTGTTTGCATTTACTTCCGGGATGTTTGATTGACATGTCCGTGTAGCCAATGCGTGTAGCCAATTGCAGCAGTCATTATGACTGCAGCAGGTGAACGACACATGTGCAGAGTCAGCAGTGTTCACCGCGCTCTTAATTTGAATTTAAATCTATATTTTGTGATCCTGGTCTTCCTGTCTGAGGTCTTCTGTCTGAGGTCTTCTGTCTGAGGCCTTGTGTCTGAGGCCTTGTGTCTGAGGCCTTCTGTCTGAGGTCTTCTGTCTGAGGCCTTCTGTCTGAGGCCTTCTGTAAGTAAGTAAGCTAGTAAGTAAGCTTTTATTTATATACCGCCTTTTCACTGCACATCGGAGTCTCAAAGCGGTTTACAATTGTTGGGTGGGGGTGCCAGTACAGGAGGCACATGTCAGACCTATTGTACATATTTTTAGTGGTAGGGGAAACCGGAGCACCCGGAGGAAACCTACGCAGACACAGGGAGAACATGCAAACTCCACTCAGAAAGGCCCTGGTCCAACCAGGATTCGAACCCAGGACCTTCTTGCTGAGAGGCGAGAGTGCTATCCACTCAGCCACCGTGCCGCCCCCGAAGACCTTCTGTCTGAGGTCTTCTGTCTGAGGTCTTCTGTCTGAGGTCTTCTGTGTGAGGCCTTCTGTCTGAGGCCTTCTGTCTGAGGTCTTCTGTCTGAGTCTTCTGTCTGAGGTCTTCTGTCTGAGGTCTTCTGTCTGAGGTCTTCTGTCTGAGGTCTTCTGTCTGAGTCTTCTGTCTGAGGCCTTCTGTCTGAGGCCTTCTGTCTGAGGCCTTCTGTCTGAGGTCTTCTGTCTGAGGTCTTCTGTCTGAGGCCTTCTGTCTGAGGCCTTCTGTCTGAGGCCTTCTGTCTGAGGTCTTCTGTCTGAGGTCTTCTGTCTGAGGTCTTCTGTCTGAGGTCTTCTGTCTGAGGTCTTCTGTCTGAGGTCTTCTGTCTGAGGTCTTCTGTCTGAGGTCTTCTGTCTGAGGTCTTCTGTCTGAGGTCTTCTGTCTGAGGCCTTCTGTCTGAGGTCTTCTGTCTGAGTCTTCTGTCTGAGGCCTTCTGTCTGAGGTCTTCTGTCTGAGGTCTTCTGTCTGAGGCCTTCTGTCTGAGGTCTTCTGTCTGAGGTCTTCTGTCTGAGGCCTTCTGTCTGAGGTCTTCTGTCTGAGGCCTTCTGTCTGAGGCCTTCTGTCTGAGGTCTTCTGTCTGAGGTCTTCTGTCTGAGGTCTTCTGTCTGAGGCCTTCTGTCTGAGGCCTTCTGTCTGAGGTCTTCTGTCTGAGGTCTTCTGTCTGAGTCTTCTGTCTGAGGTCTTCTGTCTGAGCCTTCTGTCTGAGGTCTTCTGTCTGAGGTCTTCTGTCTGAGGTCTTCTGTCTGAGGCCTTCTGTCTGAGGCCTTCTGTCTGAGGCCTTCTGTCTGAGGCCTTCTGTCTGAGGCCTTCTGTCTGAGGTCTTCTGTCTGAGGCCTTCTGTCTGAGGCCTTCTGTCTGAGGTCTTCTGTCTGAGGTCTTCTGTCTGAGTCTTCTGTCTGAGGTCTTCTGTCTGAGGCCTTCTGTCTGAGGGCCTTCTGTCTGAGGCCTTCTGTCTGAGGCCTTCTGTCTGAGGCCTTCTGTCTGAGGCCTTCTGTCTGAGGTCTTCTGTCTGAGGCCTTCTGTCTGAGGCCTTCTGTCTGAGGTCTTCTGTCTGAGGCCTTCTGTCTGAGGCCTTCTGTCTGAGGCCTTCTGTCTGAGGTCTTCTGTCTGAGGCCTTCTGTCTGAGGCCTTCTGTCTGAGGTCTTCTGTCTGAGGTCTTCTGTCTGAGGATGTTTAAAGACTTTAGAATCATTTGATCAAAACCAGAGTATATTGTTTCTCTCTTACTCCTGATGGACTCAAAGGTAAACAAACCGCACTGTTGCCCAAAGACAGACCGAGAAATAACCAGAAAAATCTCATATCAAATTGTAACCTTTTTAATAAACAAATGTAATTTAAAGTCACGGATGTCACTGTTTCATCAGTTTTATTTTATGGGTTTATATTTTAGTGTGAGCTTCTTTTAAGAATGCAGAATACAATAAAAATGTATTCAGGTGTAAATAAACATTTATAGATTAGTCTGATCTTCCTTTCTCTCAAACAATGACAACACACAGTGCTTTATAGTTCTTAAAAATATTAAAAATGTTAATCTTTCTATTCGCCTTCTACACACACAGACAGACACACACACACACAGACACACACACAGAGACACACACACACACACACACACACAGACACACACACAGACACACACACACACACACACACACACACACACACACACACAGACACACACACACACACACACACACACACACAGACACACACACACACAGACACACACACACACACACACACACACACAGAAACACACACACACACACAGACACAGACACACAGACATACACACACACACACACACACACCAGCCGAAGAAGCGCCATCTGAGGAGCCATCTGTACCAGGAGCAGAGGGTCACCTAAAGCCACAGGGCACTGTCAGTGTGGGCGGGTCCCGGCTCAAAATGTCCATGATCACGTGCACTGACATGTCTGTAATCTGACTCCGGTGGTGGGGGTGTACAGGAAACAGAATTATCCAATCAATTCTCACGGCGTTTTTTTTACTCTGGAAAACGTCTTTGGTCCAAAAGTGGTTCTTGGTCCAAAAGTGGTCCTTGGTCCAAAAGTGGTTCTTGGTCCAAAAGTGGCTCTTGGTCCAAAAGTGGTTTTTGGTCCAAAAGTGGCTCTTGTTCCAAAAGTGGCTCTTGGTCCAAAAGTGGCTCTTGGTCCAAAAGTGGTCCTTGGTCCAAAAGTGGTTCTTGGTCCAAAAGTGGCTCTTGGTCCAAAAGTGGTCCTTGGTCCAAAAGTGGTTCTTGGTCCAAAAGTGGCTCTTGGTCCAAAAGTGGTTTTTGGTCCAAAAGTGGTTCTTGGTCCAAAAGTGGCTCTTGGTCCAAAAGTGGCTCTTGGTCCAAAAGTGGCTCTTGGTCCAAAAGTGGCTCTTGGTCCAAAAGTGGTCCTTGGTCCAAAAGTGGTTCTTGGTCCAAAAGTGGCTCTTGGTCCAAAAGTGGTCCTTGGTCCAAAAGTGGCTCTTGGTCCAAAAGTGGTTTTTGGTCCAAAAGTGGCTCTTGGTCCAAAAGTGGTTTTTGGTCCAAAAGTGGTCCTTGGTCCAAAAGTGGTCCTTGGTCCAAAAGTGGTCCTTGGTCCAAAAGTGGTCCTTGGTCCAAAAGTGGTCCTTGGTCCAAAAGTGGTCCTTGGTCCGAAAGTGGCTCTTGGTCCAAAAGTGGTTTTTGGTCCAAAAGTGGTTGGACCAAGAAGTGGCGTATTGTTTTTGGACCAGTCTAGTTCAGTCGCTGTGGACTTTTGAATGCTCTTGTTAAATGAATGGGGCTGGTGCAGCTGACGCACATTTTCTTGCGGGGGGGGCTGCCTGCGGCCATTTTGAATCTGCTCATGTTGGTCACACATAACTCGACCTTGAACTGGAGACACTAAAACAAAAGAGGAGATTATTAAAATGAAGACTAAAGACAATAAAGGTGTCATAAAAACAGACAGAATACACACTAAATGATAATTACTTGATGATAATTACTAATCACAACTGTGGTATAAATGTGTCTTTCTCTTGAACACGTGATCTTCTGTGTCCGCAGTGGCCTTGTACGCCATCAGCGCCGTGTACTTCGCGGGCGTCATGGTGCGGCTCATGCTAACGCTAACCCCCGTGGTCTGCATGCTGTCGGCCGTGGCCTTCTCCAGCGTCTTCGAGCACTACATGGGGGACGACACCCGACGAGAGAAGCCCCCTGCGGAGGACAGCAGCGACGACGACGACAAGAGGAACTCTGGGAACCTCTACGATAAGGTCAGAGGAAGGGGGCGGAGCTTTGGGCTTTTATGGAGAAAAGATCAGTTTTTGTGTTTGTGATGTTCTTTTCCATGGTATGAATGAGTGAAGCGGTTCAGACGATCTCTTCAGAGAGACGTGACTTTGTCATTTCCCATTCATCTACTGTCTCAGTTTTAAGTCTGCTCTGATCATGTGACTCCCATTCATAACGTGATGGCAGCAGTTTGTTTCCTGACGTTTGTGAATCATCGTGAGTTTTACACATGATACAAGAATTGTATTTGCCATTTGCAGTAAAACCACTTTGGAATAACTGTGCAGGACTACCCAGTGTGCACACGGCGCCATCTTTACATGACGTCCACAATATTTATATTTACAATTTTCAAACACAGTATCCAATCAGAGAGCAGCATGAGGGAGTCATGTGGGTTGCCAGTTTGTTTGGTGAAATGTAGACAAAAAAGCCACTGAACGTATCTTTAAATGAAAGCAGAGACAAAATAGGTTTAGTCAAACAAACACACGGTTTGTACAGTTTCGAGGTAAACCCAGCAGATGGATTGCATCAGTAACCAGTGCTACATGTGACACCGGCAACATTTGGATTATGACCTCATCAGACTGAGACACTAATCACTAAGTACTGTCCCTTTAAAGCTGGGTTGGAAAGATTTGCTTCAGTATTCTCAGGTAGAACCAACACTATCTGAACTGATGACATTATTATTTTAATGTATTTTAGAACCTTCTGAAAGTAAATGTATAATATATATAATAGTATAATGATCCAAATCTAAATAAAGTGTTTTTATAAACGATGGTTCAGTTAATTACATTTCTATGAAAGGCGACTCTGGTTTTGGCCCATTTCACTTTTCTCCTTCTGCTCTGAAAACATTATTGATTTTGTTTTGTGTAAAAGCGTCGGCTGCAGTGAAATGTTGGAGTTCACGGCTGCTCTTTCTGCAGACCATGTTTTTCTGAATAAACAGATGGAGCTCAAACCTCTTCTTGCTTTTGAACCATTCAGTCTTTTTCAAACAAATATAATACAATGTTTGGCCTCTTCTGACAAACAGCAATGAGAAAAAAGAAAACTCTTAAAAGTAGAAATGTTTCGTCAAGAAGATAAAATATTCAGAAAGCTCGGCAGGTGAAGGACCAGTGCAGACTTCAGGAGTTTCTCAAACATGAAGAACAGTGTCCTGGAGGCTAGAGCGCGGTGCCTCCAAGTCCGCTTGCAGGTAGTCTTTGGACAACAACCACACCAGGTGAGACACGCCACCTGGTAAAACACCATCGTGGCAGTGGTTAGCAGTGCTATATAAATAAAGAGGACTTAGTGAAAGACTCACATGAACCACTTCCTTTTGAGATGTGTTGGTTTCAGTTTGGTTCAACTTTAAAACATTTACACAGAATGTATTTGAAGTGAAGAAGTATTTGTAAAACATTTACACAGAATGTATTTCAAGTGAAGAAGTATTTGGGCGGCACGGTGGCTGAGTGGATAGCACTCTCGCCTCTCAGCAAGAAGGTCCTGGGTTCGAATCCTGGTCGGACCAGGGCCTTTCTGAGTGGAGTTTGCATGTTCTCCCCGTGTCTGCGTAGGTTTCCTCCGGGTACTCCGGTTTCCCCTACCACTAAAAATATGTCCAATAGTTCTAGCATGCGCCTCCTGTACTGGCGACCCCGCTCCCATCTCTGTGTGGAGTGAGAGACAAATGCCCAAAATTAACAATTGTAAACCGCTTTGAGACTCAGATCTGCAGTGAAAAGGCGGTATATAAATAAAAACTTACTTACTTACTTACTATTTGTTAAATTCAGACACAGCTGTGTCTTTGTTTCAGATTTTAAACCTCCTGAAGCTTTGGTCCAAGAACTGAGGTTTAAAAAGACTTTTTAATCTTAAACTGCTGCTAAATCTGTAAACACTGGAGTCCGTGGAGTTCTTTGTGATTGTGTAGAAAGTCTCTGAGGACCATGCGTCTGTCTGAATACATCTTTACACTGATTCCATTTTCCAAAAGCTGTCGTTTTTCTGCGTTTATAATTTAGGGTTTTCTCCAAAGCTGCTCAAAGTGTTTCAACGCCTTTTCTCCAATCAAAGCCTCCGGTAATTACAAGAAAGAAAGGCTCCATAGTTTCCCGCAATTATTTTGCTTTTGAAGAGTTTTTCTTTAACAGTTAATTCAACACGTTTTGTCTTCAAAGTCATCACTTTTAGCTTGAGATCGTTCTATTTTATTAAACTGAACATGTGCTGTTGCTACGGCAACGGCCAGGCCCCTGCAGTCTGTTCCACCAACCTGCTTTATCCTCTTTACAAAGGCTCATTCTGAGGAGCACAGGGACTTGCTCCTGCTGGGACTCTGAGGAGCACAGGGACTGGCTCCTGCTGGGACTCTGAGGAGCACAGGGACTGGACTCCTGCTGGGACTCTGAGGAGCACAGGGACTGGCTCCTGCTGGGACTCTGAGGAGCACAGGGACTGGCCTCCTGCTGGGACTCTGAGGAGCACAGGGACTGGCCTCCTGCTGGGACTCTGAGGAGCACAGGGACTGGCCTCCTGCTGGGACTCTGAGGAGCACAGGGACTGGACTCCTGCTGGGACTCTGAGGAGCACAGGGACTGGCCTCCTGCTGGGACTCTGAGGAGCACAGGGACTGGCCTCCTGCTGGGACTCTGAGGAGCACAGGGACTGGACTCCTGCTGGGACTCTGAGGAGCACAGGGACTGGCTCCTGCTGGGACTCTGAGGAGCACAGGGACTGGCCTCCTGCTGGGACTCTGAGGAGCACAGGGACTGGACTCCTGCTGGGACTCTGAGGAGCACAGGGACTGGCCTCCTGCTGGGACTCTGAGGAGCACAGGGACTGGCTCCTGCTGGGACTCTGAGGAGCACAGGGACTGGCCTCCTGCTGGGACTCTGAGGAGCACAGGGACTGGCTCCTGCTGGGACTCTGAGGAGCACAGGGACTGGACTCCTGCTGGGACTCTGAGGAGCACAAGGACTGGACTCCTGCTGGGACTCTGAGGAGCACAGGGACTGGCCTCCTGCTGGGACTCTGAGGAGCACAGGGACTGGACTCCTGCTGGGACTCTGAGGAGCACAGGGACTGGCCTCCTGCTGGGACTCTGAGGAGCACAGGGACTGGACTCCTGCTGGGACTCTGAGGAGCACAGGGACTGGACTCCTGCTGGGACTCTGAGGAGCACAGGGACTGGCCTCCTGCTGGGACTCTGAGGAGCACAGGGACTGGCTCCTGCTGGGACTCTGAGGAGCACAGGGACTGGCCTCCTGCTGGGACTGAGGAGCACAGGGACTGGCCTCCTGCTGGGCCTCTGAGGAGCACAGGGACTGGCCTCCTGCTGGGCCTCTGAGGAGCACAGGGACTGGCCTCCTGCTGGGACTCTGAGGAGCACAGGGACTGGCCTCCTGCTGGGACTCTGAGGAGCACAGGGACTGGCTCCTGCTGGGACTCTGAGGAGCACAGGGACTGGACTCCTGCTGGGACTCTGAGGAGCACAGGGACTGGCCTCCTGCTGGGACTCTGAGGAGCACAGGGACTGGACTCCTGCTGGGACTCTGAGGAGCACAGGGACTGGCCTCCTGCTGGGACTCTGAGGAGCACAGGGACTGGCTCCTGCTGGTCCCAAAGTGTTTCTCATTCATTGTCTTTAAACCTCTGGTGTCGTCCAAAGCGCTCGTTGTTTTCCAATTAGTCTTTGTTTCATTGAGACCAGACTCATCCTGTCGGCTGTGTTAGTGAAAGCACACACTTTACACACACTTTACACACACTTTACACACACTTTACACACACTTTACACACACTTTACACACACTTTACACACACTTTACACACACTTTACACACACTTTACACACACTTTACACACACTTTACACACACACTTCACACACACTTTACACACACTTTACACACACTTTACACACACACTTCACACACACTTTACACACACTTTACACACACTTTACACACACACTTCACACACACTTTACACTAGGGGTGGGAACCTAAGGGTACCTCACGATACGATACACGATAACAATATTATCACGATATTACGATTATTGATTGAAAAAATACACTTTATTTCATGATAAATGGAATGGAGATGTGTAATGTAGCCATATATTAAGTATTGATACCAATTTAAAAAAATAATTTGTAAAAAAAAAAAAATATCAATAATCGAATCGATTATTGATTTTTCGATATATCGCAATACTTTCTCCCTCACTTTCTCCCTCACACCCCTACTTCACACACACTTTACACGCACTTCACACACACTTTACACACACTTCACACACATCATAGGATTAAATTCACAAAGAACCTTTTTCTCTTATCACTTCTGATAGGTGTGTCTGTGTGTCTGTGTGTGTGTGTGTGTGTGTCTGTGTGTGTGTGTCTGTGTGTCTGTGTGTGTCTGTGTTTCTTCCAAGGGGATTGCGTAGCTTAAATATTGGATCTTTGCACTGTTCTCTCTCCATTGTATTGTCTTTGTCCTGTTCAAAAGTCTTTGGGTTAGTGATGATAATAATAATAGTTATTATTATTATAATAAATAATAACAGACTGCACTGAGCTGCAGGTCTCCCATCACGCTCTGCCAAGACCTGAGCTGGCTCCAAGTTCATGTTTCATGTGTTTGGGTCTTTCCCTCGGAGCTGGTCCCAGCTGTTCTCCAGTCCCTCCACAGTCTGTCTCGTCTTCAGGGACTTCATCATCTTCATCATCCTCTTCATCATCATCTGTCTCTGGGCCATAAATTATAGACATCAAAAGATTGTGAATATTTGAACTTCATTTCTGAGTTGATTAATGTTTCCTGCACCAAAAGGAACGTATTCAATCTGTACTTTGTTTTTGTTGAGATTTTCAGATAACTTTGGCTCTGATCTGGCACCGACTAAAATGTTTAATTACTATGGCAACAGTAGTTTGCGGCACCGTGGGTGAGTGGTTAGCCCTCTCGCCTCTTAGCAAGAAGGTCCTGGGTTCGAATCCCGGTCGGACCAGGGCCTTTCTGAGTGGATTTTGCATGTTCTCCCCGTGTCTGCGTAGGTTTCCTCCGGGTACTCCGGTTTCCCCTACCATAAAAAACCTGTACAATAGGCCTCCTGTACTGGCCCCTCCCATCTCTGTGTGGAGTGAGAGACAAGTGCTCAAAAATAACAATTGTAAACCGCTTTGTGACTCTGGTCTGTGAAAGGCGGTATATTAATTAATATTTCTTACTTACTCAGTTTATTAGTTTGAAAGTTATGGAGACACATGACAAAAGCTCATATTAGCTGAATAACTAGAAACTAGTCTTTCCTCATCAAAAACACACTTTATCTGCATTTCCAAAACAATACTTTTCTTACATCAGATTTCAGAGCCGTGTTGGACATTTGGAAATGTTTTATGCAATAATTCTGTTAATATTCGACTTATATTAGCCCAGAATGACCAGTTAGGTCAACTTTTACAAACAAAGGTGGTGGTAGTGGTGGTAATCTTTTAGTAGTAATCTTTATTTATATACCGCCTTTTCCCTTCAGAGTCTCAAAGCGGTTTACAATTGTTAGTTTTGGGCATTTGTCTGTCACTCCACACAGACATTGAAGCAGGGGCGCCAGTACAGGAGGCACATGCCAGAACTATTGTGCATGTTTTTAGTGGTAGCGGCGGCGGCGGCGGTGCTTGGTCTCGGACTTAGAATGTTCTTCTATTTAGTTTATAAAGAAGCTGGTACTGTATGGTGTCACTGGTGTGTCTCAGCTGGTGCTGGTGTTGCTTGGTTCATATCTGGTATCTGCAAACATGAAGCTAAAGTATCTGTATGGACCTGATCCATGCGTCTATAGCTTCAATCACTACCTTCGATGATGATGATGATGAGTTAAAGTTTCTAATGTGCAGTGGGAGTTCCGGAGGGGTTGCTGTTCTGTCCATGTGTTCTTTAAAGTGACCCTGACTCTGCTGGTTCTGGTTCTGGTTCTGTGCAGGCCGGGAAAGTGCGCAAACACGTGTCTGAGCAGGAGAAGAGTGAGGAGGGTCTGGGTCCAAACGTGAAGTCCATCGTGACGATGCTGATGCTGATGCTGCTCATGATGTTCGCCGTCCACTGCACGTGGGTCACCAGCAACGCCTACTCCAGCCCCAGCGTGGTCCTGGCCTCCTACAACCACGACGGGTGAGTCCAAGCAGCACGCCGTCTGCCGCCGCTCCGTCCGGGATCATGGGAAACTCTCACACATGGTTTATGAAAGTTTTTATATTTCTGAGTTGATGTAATTATTATGCAAATATTTCCTTTACAAATGGAAACTATTGTGTTGCTGATTATTTACATCTGGCTTTCCCTGCTTCAGATCGCTGCTTCAATTCCATATTTTTTGGACCAGACAAAAATGCATAATAAAGGTGGAAAAAAAACATAGCTAGAGAATAAGTCTAATTTTTTAGGGAAATGTATTTGATAAAAATCCAACACCAAGAATAGACATTTCCTCTTTTGGCAAACAGCTGAACAAGTGCTGAGAGCGTGGACACAAACGTCACAGTAAGAGTCAAAGAAGTTCAGCCTAAAGTTTAACAAAGTGTCTCCTCATCACTGCGTCCGACATCTTCCTCTGTCTCTATTTTTACTGTGTAATAATCAAAACATACAATGTAATCATTTCGACCAAACGAAGACAAAAAACAGTGGTTTCATTTGAACACATTCAACAGATTTTTCTTGTGATTTTTTATCCAGGTTTGATGAACTTTATGAGCACGTTCTTGTCTTTTCAGAAAAGTATTATTCAAAGCAACATCACATTTTCAACTATTCATGATTTAATCTTTGAGCCCTGCTTTCGAGTAAAACTTCTCATAAAAAGCAAATCTTAAAGAAACTGACCTTCACTTTAAATGAAAGAAAACTGTGAATATGGAGACGTTTTTCAAAAGCAAGCACCAGTTAAACTCACCGCCACGAGGTCCCTGGGTTTGACGCAATGAATTCTAATCCTTGATCTCATGAATCCTGGATCTCATGAATCCTGGATCTCATGAATCTTGGATCTCATGAATCCTGGATCTCATGAATCCTGGATCTCATGAATCCTTGACCCTCAGGTCTTCAGTCCAACAGAAAAAGACTTTGAGGAGTTTTGTATGTAAATGCTGCAAGAGAGATTTGGCCTCTTCCTAACGTTAAAACTTAATAATAAGTGATTTAAGTACATTTTGACTTTGCTTTCCAACATCTCGGCTTGAGATATAATAAATAAATACAGTTTTCTCCAATGTGCAGTGTCCTCAGACAAAGCTCAGATCAATCCTCAGAGAACAGACAGACTCAGAGGTGAAGTGATGGAGTTTATGTTCAGTATCGGTGCGTGAGGCAGGACTTGTAGGTCGGCACCATGTACTTGATGTTGATGAAGGCGTTCTTTCCTCCGGACACCTCCAGCAGCTGGAGCGTTTCCTGGATCAGTTTCCGCAGGTCGTGCTTCTCCACCGACTTGAAGATGTTGGGAATGAGCAGGATGTGTCTGTAGTACGGCAGCAGAGCCTCCCCCACGCCCTCCGCCGACACCACCAGGCGCTGGAGGACCCTCAGGGTGGTGCAGATGATCTGGCAGTTCCTGGTGTTCAGGGCGTTCCGTAGCGGCATAATCAGCTTGGGGATCACCGGGAGGATCTTGGCGCCGCCGCAATCCAACATGTCGTAGATCCCCTCTCGAGCGAATACTGTGAACGGATGCTCGGTCTCGCAAAGTCCGTCAAAAAACAGCGGCAGGTAATATTCGTAGTCCAGTTTGTCCACCTCCACGTTCCACTTCAGACTGAACCCTTTCACTCCGTGCTGCAGCCTCGTGGGGAAGTTTGGTCTGTAGTAGAAGTCCCTGAACTTGGTGGGTTTGGACGGACGCACACAGAACACGTCGGATTTGGGCGGTCCCACCACCACCGCGTTCTTCATCCGGGACTTCACGGTGAAGCCCAGGGTCTCCATGTTCATGGTTTTGCCATAAACCTCCACAGTTTGACCCAACGGTCGGATCCAAATAAGGGCGTCGCCGGGCGACGATAGTCGTTCGAACAGTTTGAAGAATCCAGTTTTTGGAGCATTTTTCTCTCATTGAAAAGATTTGAATGTGTTGTTTTGAATTGACCACAATTTGTTACCGTGGCAACGGCCTGGTTCTCATTATTCTGAAGCCAAAGAAAAGAGTGACATCATTTCTCACTTCTGGGGTCAAAGCTGCTGTGACTAAAACATCCTTCGTAGAAACAGGATTTGAAGGAAGTACAAAGTGAATAAACTTATGGTTTATTTACAGTCGACTTCAGCAACTCTTTTAAATGTTTTACAAAATAAAAATAACTAAGTCCTCAGTCCTGCTCCTCAGTCTCCTGCTGCTGGATTTACAGTGTATGCACGGCTTATGACAGCTGCAGCAGCTCAGACCTACAACACTTCAGGTGGAGAGAAAAGAGTATAAAGTGTGAGGGTTTTTTCAGCCTTAAAACATGAAGCTGCTTTTGTTTAGAGCGTAACCATGACGATAAACATCACTAATGACGACTGCTCTGGCTTCCAGTTTTAGATGTTTTATCGGTGGCTTTTACTAGTTGTGAGCTAATTATCAACGTAAAAAAAAATAGGAACCTAATAAATCTTACTTGTGTCATAAATGAGTTTTACGTTGCAAGTTTAATGACGGTAAATGGACTTTTGAACGATATTCTTTTCCCTGTTCTACATTGAGTCCAATTCATTTTGCTCATGCCACTCTCCATCAGCCTCGCAGCCTCTAAGAAGAGAGAGGGAGAGAAAGTGTGGGCAAGTTTAGTGATGTGTCTGCAGAATATGAATGTCATGTTTTTCCACTCTGTGAAGAACACTAGAAACTAGAAAGCATCAGTTGTGGCCTCAGTGACCGCTCTACAGAAGGAGACAGAATCCTAACAGACAGAATCCTAACAGACAGAATCATAACAGACAGAATCCTAACAGACAGAATCCTAACAGACAGAATTCTAACAAACAGAATCCTAACAGACAGAATCCTAACAGACAGAATCCTAACAGACAGAATCCTAACAGACAGAATCCTAACAGACAGAATCATAACAGTCAGAATCATCATAACACACAGAATCATCATAACAGACAGAATCATAACAGACAGAATCATCATAACAGACAGAATCATCATAACAGACAGAATCATCATAACAGACGGAATCATAACAGACGGAATCATAACAGTCGGAATCATCATAACAGACAGAATCATAACAGACAGAATCATAACAGTCAGAATCATAACAGACAGAATCATAACAGTCAGAATCATCATAACAGACAGAATCACAACAGTCAGAATCATAACAGACAGAATCACAACAGTCAGAATCACAACAGTCAGAATCATAACAGACAGAATCATCATAACAGACAGAATCATCATAACAGACAGAATCACAACAGACAGAATCACAACAGACAGAATCACAACAGACAGAATCACAACAGACAGAATCACAACAGACAGAATCACAACAGACAGAATCACAACAGACAGAAACACAACAGACAGAATCACAACAGACAGAATCACAACAGACAGAATCATCATAACAGACAGAATCAGAATCATAACAGACTCACAACAGACAGAATCACAACAGACAGAATCACAACAGACAAAATCATCATAACAGACAGAATCAGAATCATAACAGACTCACGGCACGGTGGCTGAGTGGATAGCACTCTCGCCTCTCAGCAAGAAGGTCCTGGGTTCGAATCCCGGTCGGACCAGGGCCTTTCTGAGTGGAGTTTGCATGTTCTCCCCGTGTCTGCGTAGGTTTCCTCCGGGTACTCCGGTTTCCCCTACAACTAAAAATATGTTCAATAGTTCTAGCATGCGCCTCCTGTACTGGCCCCGCTCCCATCTCTGTGTGGAGTGAGAGACAAATGCCCAAAAAAAAAATTAACAATTGTAAACCGCTTTGAGACTCAGATCTGCAGTGAAAAGGCGGTATATAAATAAAAACTTACTTACTTACTTACTCACAACAGACAGAATCACAACAGACAGAATCACAACAGACAGAATCACAACAGACAGAATCATCATAACAGACAGAATCATCATAACAGACAGAATCAGAATCATAACAGACAGAATCAGAATCATAACAGTCAGAATCACAACAGTCAGAATCACAACAGACAGAATCACAACAGACAGAATCACAACAGTCAGAATCACAACAGTCAGAATCATAACAGACAGAATCATCATAACAGACAGAATCATAACAGACAGAATCAGAATCATAACAGACAGAATCATCATAACAGACAGAATCATAACAGACAGAATCAGAATCATAACAGACAGAATCAGAATCATAACAGTCAGAATCACAACAGTCAGAATCACAACAGACAGAATCACAACAGACAGAATCACAACAGTCAGAATCATAACAGTCAGAATCATCATAACAGTCAGAATCATCATAACAGTCAGAATCACAACAGACAGAATCATCATAACAGACAGAATCATCATAACAGACAGAATCATCATAACAGACAGAATCAGAATCATAACAGACAGAATCAGAATCATAACAGACTCACAACAGACAGAATCACAACAGACAGAATCACAACAGTCAGAATCACAACAGTCAGAATCACAACAGTCAGAATCATAACAGACAGAATCATCATAACAGACAGAATCACAACAGACAGAATCATAACAGACAGAATCAGAATCATAACAGACAGAATCAGAATCATAACAGTCAGAATCACAACATTCAGAATCACAACAGACAGAATCACAACAGTCAGAATCACAACAGTCAGAATCATAACAGACAGAATCATCATAACAGACAGAATCATCATAACAGTCAGAATCACAATAGACAGAATCACAACAGTCAGAATCATAACAGTCAGAATCACAACAGTCAGAATCACAACAGACAGAATCACAACAGACAGAATCACAACAGACAGAATCACAACAGAGAGAATCACAATCATCATAACAGACAGAATCAGAATCATAACAGACAGAATCCTAACAGACAGAATCATAACAGACAGAATCATAACAGTCAGAATCACAACATTCAGAATCACAACAGACAGAATCACAACAGTCAGAATCACAACAGTCAGAATCATAACAGACAGAATCATCATAACAGACAGAATCATAACAGTCAGAATCACAATAGACAGAATCACAACAGTCAGAATCATAACAGTCAGAATCATAACAGACAGAATCACAACAGACAGAATCACAACAGACAGAATCACAACAGACAGAATCACAACAGACAGAATCACAATCATCATAACAGACAGAATCAGAATCCTAACAGACAGAATCATAACAGTCAGAATCACAATAGACAGAATCACAACAGTCAGAATCATAACAGTCAGAATCATAACAGACAGAATCACAACAGACAGAATCACAACAGACAGAATCACAACAGACAGAATCACAACAGACAGAATCACAATCATCATAACAGACAGAATCAGAATCATAACAGACAGAATCCTAACAGACAGAATCATAACAGACAGAATCATAATAGACAGAATCATAACAGTCAGAATCATAACAGTCAGAATCACAACAGACAGAATCCTAACAGACAGAATCATCACAGACAGAATCCTAACAGTCAGAATCACAACAGTCAGAATCACAACAGTCAGAATCACAACAGACAGAATCACAACAGACAGAATCACAACAGACAGAATCACAACAGACAGAATCACAACAGACAGAATCATCATAACAGACAGAATCAGAATCATAACAGACTCACAACAGACAGAATCACAACAGACAGAATCATAACAGGCAGAATCAGAATCATAACAGACAGAATCAGAATCATAACAGTCAGAATCATCATAACAGTCAGAATCACAACAGTCAGAATCACAACAGTCAGAATCACAACAGACAGAATCACAACAGTCAGAATCATAACAGTCAGAATCATAACAGACAGAATCATCATAACAGACAGAATCACAACAGACAGAATCATAACAGACAGAATCATAACAGACAGAATCATCATAACAGACAGAATCAGAATCATAACAGACAGAATCAGAATCACAACAGACAGAATCCTAACAGACAGAATCCTAACAGACAGAATCCTAACAGACAGAATCCTAACAGACAGAATCCTAACAGACAGAATCCTAACAGACAGAATCCTAACAGACAGAATCCTAACAGACAGAATCCTAACAGACAGAATCCTAACAGACAGAATCCTAACAGACAGAATCATCATAACAGACAGAATCATCATAACAGTCAGAATCACAACAGACAGAATCATCATAACAGACAGAATCACAACAGACAGAATCACAACAGACAGAATCACAACAGACAGAATCACAACAGACAGAATCATAACAGACAGAATCATAACAGACAGAATCATCATAACAGACAGAATCAGAATCATAACAGACAGAATCAGAATCACAACAGACAGAATCCTAACAGACAGAATCATAACAGACAGAATCATAACAGACAGAATCATAACAGACAGAATCCTAACTGACAGATAACCATCGACCTGGCTGTGCTTGTCGGTACATTTAGGATCTGGAGATGTGTTTTTCCCCGCTGCAGGTTTAGTGTTAGTGTTTAGTTTTCAGGACTAGTCAAAGTTTTCACTGAAATATGAATTTTACATGAAGTTAAAACCGTCGGAGCTGGAACCATCGCACCAAGGTCTCTCTCTTTAAAGAATCTGCTTTAACAAGTTTCTCTGGTGAATGAAATATCGATTGAAAACCTTTTTCAGTTACAACTTTTATATCCCGACCGTTTTCAGACCAAACTGAGGTTTAACTGAAATCCCATTGAGAGAACGTTACTTACATAATGCATTTAGAGTTTTGTAGTGATTTCAATGTTTTTTACTTCAGCCATTTAAAAGAAGAAAAAAAAGATGGATAGAGATTTGTCTTATCTAATAATAATAATAACAGTTTTATATGGCGCTTTTCAAAAACTCAGACGCTTCACAATTCAGGACACACACACACACACATTTAGACAAACACACACACATTTAGACAGACACACAACATAAAAAATCTAAAAGAAATTAGTGAGTCCGAGTTTTAGTGAGTCCGAGTCACTGATTCTACAGTTTTATATACTGTGTACTACTTGAATCTACTTTTGTTAAATATCTGTTCTTTCCTGTGCAGTTCACAAACCTTGGATCTGTTGAAATCTCCTGTACCAACTTTTTAGTCAAAAAATAGATGAATTTAGTCACTTTTTTTGTTTAAATGTCTTTAAAAATAAAACATAACAGATGTGATAGTTGTGGGCTTGCTTCTTCACAAACCTGACACGTAATAACTGTAAAAACAGACATTTGTGTTGGGGGTTAGTAATGGATCATGACTGTCTCTCTTCTGCCCCCTCCTGGCAGCTCGAGGAACATCCTGGACGACTTCAGGGAGGCGTACTATTGGCTGAGGCAGAACACGGACGAGCACGCCAGGGTTATGTCCTGGTGGGATTACGGATACCAGATCGCGGGGATGGCCAACCGGACCACGCTGGTGGACAACAACACCTGGAACAACAGCCACATCGCTCTGGTGCGCCTCCCTCTGCTCTTCACAAACTGTTTTTAAAGCACTCAGTCTAAAATCTGTGATCGTTTAAAGACACACTTCAGATGAAGACGTCCAAAAGAGTGCAGTAGGAGTACATTTTATTAATATGGCGAATCTTAATGAGTAATGTTTGAAGAAACCAGGGGTGGTTTTTCTTCTTCCCGCTCTTTTCCGAGTATCTGCTGTGATTCTCTTGGGAAATAATATCTATAATGTGTATTATGTAAATGTAACTCAGGGTTATTTATGTTCCAAAACATTAAAACAATAAGTTTAACTTTGAGCAGGGGGTCGTGCGGTCACAGAGAACAGTCAGAATAGATACGTTTGTTGGAGTCTGAGCGGAAACTTAAACCTACACTTACCTTAAACCTACACTTATGAACATTAATAAACATTTATAAACATTAATAAACATTAATAAACACTGGTCTCTGCTCCTTTTGGACCAATGTGTTTTTATCGTTGCATTTCCTGTGTTTTTCTGATCTGTGTGAATTCTACAGTTTAGTGAATTCCTCTGACCTCCTAACCCTACTGTTGTGATTTAGATTACATTGAAAGTAGGATCACACGACACTTTAAACTCTGAGAGAAATGTCCAAATGAACCATGTCCTGACACTGGTCTAAAAGAATCTGTGGAAAACACCGTTAAATGTGTGAAATGTTAAACCCTGGTTCCTTTGTGTCTCAAATAACTACTTCAGATCAGATTCACTTTGTCCCAAAGGAAAACTGCAGTAGATTCAGATTATTCAGATTCAGACTGTTTTATTTATCCCACCAGGGGCTGTTGGTCTGAGCAGCACAAGGCATAAAAACACTTTTAAAAACAGATAAGAACGTATAAAAAACAAAGGAAACATGATGATATGAAGGTAACTGTGTGCAGGTGGGGAAGGCCATGTCGTCCAATGAGAGCGCGGCGTATGACATCATGCGGTCGCTGGACGTGGATTACGTCCTCATCATCTTCGGCGGCGTCATCGGTTACTCCGGCGACGACATCAACAAGTTTCTGTGGATGGTTCGGATCGCAGAAGGAGAGCACCCCAAAGACATCAGGGTGAGTGCATCAGGAGAGAGCACCCCAAAGACATCAGGGTGAGTGCATCAGGAGAGAGCACCCCAAAGACATCAGGGTGAGTGCATCAGGAGAGAGCACCCCAAAGACAGGTGCAGATCCATCAAACCGTGAGATTGAACTGACCATGTGAGCCTCAGGGCTGTAGACTTCTAATCACATAAACATGTTGCAGTGCGGGGTCTGATGTGTGTGTGTGTGTGTGTGTGTGTGTGTGTGTGTGTGTGTGTGTGTGTGTGTGTGTGTGTGTGTGTGTGTGTGTGTGTGTGTGTGTGTGTGTGTGTGTGTGTGTGTGTGTGTGTGTGTGTGTGTGTGTGTGTGTGTGTGTGTGTGTGTGACGTGTGTGTGATGTGTGTGTGTGACGTGTGTGTGTGTGTGATGTGTGTGTGACGTGTGTGTGTGTGTGTGTGTGTGTGTGTGTGACGTGTGTGTGTGTGTGTGTGTTTCAGGAGAGCGACTACTTCACGCCTCAGGGAGAGTTCAGAGTGGACAAGGCTGGATCCCCCACTCTGCTCAACTGCCTCATGTACAAGATGTCTTATTATCGCTTTGGAGAGATGCAGGTACGACTGCTTTAGTCTGGTTTAGTCCTGCTTTAGTCCTGGTTTAGTCCTGGTTTAGTCCTGGTTTAGTCCTGGTTTAGACCTGCTTTAGTCCTGGTTTAGTCCTGGTTCAGTCCTGGTTTAGTCCTGGTTTAGTCCTGCTTTAGTCCTGCTTTAGTCCTGGTTTAGTCCTGGTTTAGTCCTGGTTTTGTCCTGGTTTAGACCTGCTTTAGTCCTGGTTTAGTCCTGGTTCAGTCCTGGTTCAGTCCTGGTTTAGTCCTGGTTTAGACCTGCTTTAGTCCTGGTTTAGTCCTGGTTTAGTCCTGGTTTAGTCCTGGTTTAGACCTGCTTTAGTCCTGGTTTAGTCCTGGTTTAGTCCTGGTTTAGTCCTGGTTTAGACCTGGTTTAGTCCTGGTTTAGACCTGGTCCGGATGCGTGTGGGCGATAATGTCTAGTTCGAACACTGCAGTGATTCTGGTCGTCGTGGAAACGAGCTGAATAGTCGGCCTTGTAGAGGTCGGTCACACACACACACACACACACACACACACACACACACACACACAGACACACACACAGACACACACAGACACACACTCACAGTGCTGCTACTGTGTGTGTGTGTGTGTGTGTCTGAGCTGCACATATGGCTGTATTTGGATCGTCCTTGACTTCAAATTGTAGATTTGCATAAAGTATTGTCCTAAACACGAACAACAGCAAAGTTACTGTAGACCAGGACTGAGGCTGTAGACCCAGGACTGAGGCTGTAGACCCAGGACTGAGGCTGTAGACCCAGGACTGAGGCTGTAGACCCAGGACTGAGGCTGTAGACCCAGGACTGAGGCTGTAGACCCAGGACTGAGGCTGTAGACCCAGGACTGAGGCTGTAGACCCAGAACTGAGGCTGTAGACCCAGGACTGAGGCTGTAGACCCAGGACTGAGGCTGTAGACCCAGGACTGAGGCTGTAGACCCAGGACTGAGGCCGTAGACCCAGGACTGAGGCTGTAGACCCAGGACTGAGGCTGTAGACCCAGGACTGAGGCTGTAGACCCAGGACTGAGGCTGTAGACCCAGGACTGAGGCTGTAGACCCAGGACTGAGGCTGTAGACCAGGACTGAGGCTGTAGACCCAGGACTGAGGCTGTAGACCCAGGACTGAGGCTGTAGACCCAGGACTGAGGCTGTAGACCCAGGACTGAGGCTGTAGACCCAGGACTGAGGCTGTAGACCCAGGACTGAGGCTGTGGACCCAGGACTGAGGCTGTAGAGCAGGACTGAGGCTGTAGACCCAGGACTGAGGCTGTAGACCCCAGGACTGAGGCTGTAGACCCAGGACTGAGGCTGTAGACCCAGGACTGAGGCTGTAGACCCAGGACTGAGGCTGTAGACCCAGGACTGAGGCTGTAGACCCAGGACTGAGGCTGTAGACCCAGGACTGAGGCTGTAGACCCAGGACTGAGGCTGTAGACCCAGGACTGAGGCTGTAGACCCAGGACTGAGGCTGTAGACCCAGGACTGAGGCTGTAGACCCAGGACTGAGGCTGTAGACCCAGAACTGAGGCTGTAGACCCAGGACTGAGGCTGTAGACCCAGGACTGAGGCTGTAGACCCAGAACTGAGGCTGTAGACCCAGGACTGAGGCTGTAGACCCAGGACTGAGGCTGTAGACCCAGAACTGAGGCTGTAGACCCAGGACTGAGGCTGTAGACCCAGGACTGAGGCTGTAGACCCTGGACTGAGTTTCATGTGTTGCAGGAAGTCGTTCCCGTCGCAGCACGCCACTCTTTCCGCCTTCGCCGCCGTCTACATCTCGGTGAGTATCAGATGTTTGTGGGTCTTCACACTTGCACAAGGCATTATTCATTTAGACCTGGTTTAGACCTGGTTTAGACCTGGTTTAGACCTGGTTTAGACCTGGTTTAGACCTGGTTTAGACCTGCTTTAGTCCTTGTTTGGACCTGGTTCAGACCTGGATTAGTTCTGGTTTACTCTTTGTA